TATGGACTCATATTATTTTGTCAATAGATGGTTTTATGTTTTCCGCTGTGTAAATTCTCTGGTTTCTATCAATAAGAGAGTGGACACGTGGCACTGACGATGCTCCCGCGGGACTGGCAGCACTCATTTTGGTCTTTTTTTTTTTTTTTAAAGTTTCATATAATTAACTTATAATTTATGAATTAAAATTAGTTAAAAATAATAAATTGGTAAGAACTATATTTTTATTTTTAAAAATATCCTTATCATAAATGTAAAAAAAAAAGATGAAAGAGGATGTACAAAACATATAATGAGTGTGAGAGAGAGAGTGGCAAAAAAAAAAAAAATAAATAAATATTGAGACAAATCTAAATTAAAGCTTATAAATTTGTCAAACAAATGGTGCATGCTTGGGGTCCCTTGTGGGTGTTCTCAAACCCCACATTGGATAGGTGTGTGAGTGTGTTAGTGTGTATAAATAGATAAGGTGACTGTTTGGGTACCACCTGTGTTAGGTGGTTTTCCCTTCAGTCCATTGTCCAAAAAAAAAAAAAGGCTTACCACAAAGTCAAGCATTGTGACTGTCACTGTGTCACTTATTTTTCTGAAAACAAGCTGCAACGTTTAAGTTCCACAAAAATGAATCTAAACCCCCCCCTTTTTTTTTTTGAGTTGTTATAGTTTCTCAAGTCTAAAAAAGTTGTTATGGTTTCTCAATCCCAAATATTTGTTATTATGCTGATAATTTGTTAAGTACTCTCTGACTCCGTCACTTATTATAAAAAATAATTATCAAAATTACAATGTTTGTTAGTTTAATTTGATTAAAAACAATAAATGTGTAATATGTGTTTTTAATTATACCCTTATTTATACATAAAGTACATGAGAAATAATGAATAAAAATTTATAGCAGGGAGATATTAGATGCTATATCTAATGAGTGTGAAAGTAGAAAGATATGTTTAAAAATTTCAGACGAAGATAATTTATTTCTTATGTTTAAGGATACCACTGTGAAAGAAGACGGAGAAAGTATCGTAGATGTGATGATAAGTAATTTGCCACACAATATAAGTAGAATAAAATTTATTTACTATCATTATAAAAATGAAAAATTATTATGCTCATGATCATTTCGTTGCATTTATATATAATCTATAATCTGGTTGATTTTGTTTGGAAAAAATAATAATATGGTTGATTTTGATTTTATTTAGATTGATGCGTCAAAAAAATTAAGACGTGGGTTGTTAAGTGAGAATCATGTTATCAACTATTAATACCACCTCTTATAAATTAATAAAATATTAATATTTAATAGAGGAAATTATAAGGACCTAGTAAAAGAAAAGACGACATGAATTATTCTTTTTTTTTTTTTAAAAAAGAATTATATATTATACATATATATACATTCACGCCAAATCCTAAGAGGAAATTAAAAACACTAAGGTTGCGTTTGATAGGAAACACTAAAAATTAGAGATAAGAATTTGAATTGGAATTGAAAAAATCTATTAAAATAGTGTTTAGCATGAGAGATTAATTGTAATATAGGATTGGGGGATTGGAGAATACTATGAAGGATATGGTATTCTCCAATCCCACTTCTATGTGGGTTTACCTAATCCCATATAATCAGTAATTACTCATACTAAATACAATTTTAATAATTTTTTTCAATCATAATTTCAATCCCTATCCTTCATTTTTAATGCTTCATACCAAATAGGACATAAAAAACAACGTGCAACTGTGTGCTTTGGTGATGAGCAAAATACACAAGTAAAACTCCTTTGTACTTGTTTTTGTTGACCTGAACTATAAAAAAGGAGAAACAGTGCATAATTTCTCAAGGAAAAACCCACGTATCTGATCCGCTTTTGCATGAAACTAGCATGAGAAGAGGAAAGAGGAAGAAGATATCCAAACAGTATGCATCACAATCTCGTATAGTCCAAGTTGCATGTTTCCTTTCCCTGCTCTCTCACAGCACAGCCATAACATAAAGCATGAATAATGCATATCTGACTATAGAAAAAGCCTCATATCTGGTTCTACTGGCACAAGCAAGTATTCATCAAACAAATGAAATCAAAGAGGGAAAAATGAACAACAGTATAAAACTAATAGGAAAAGCTACCAGCTGTCTCCAATGTGAAATTGAAGCTCTAAGAATCGGCAGGAAGGTTGCGGGATCCATAGGCTCGTCCATTTCAACCATAACACCATTGTCGTCATCATCAGTTGATGCTAATAGTCTAACTTCTCTGACTCCATTCTCAGCAACCGCTCGTGGAACAGTTTCTGTTGAACTTGTTTAGTCTGTCATACCCTAAATGGGAAAAGGAGCTGCCACTTTCATCTTGACCGTGAAGGAACATGAAAGGAAACAGCATTAGACGAAAAACCAAAGACCATTTCATTTTATTGAGACTATTCCTAGCCAAAGAAGAGCAATGGTATTAAACATTGCCTTCAAAGAGGAAAACAACACAGTTGAAGCAACGGCTAACACCCCTCAAAACTGATTCGTCTGCTATGATTAGAGAAGAAGGGAGAGCAGAACATTCATAGTACCATTAAATATGCATGAATCAGTGAGTTCAATCAGAAGCTTACAAACTTCAGAGCTGTTGTATATCAAATTTTTCCATAACCGGACATAATAAGTACGTAGTACTGTCTGAATTTCAATTTGACATTATAAAGATCAAGTGAAAATTGTGTCCAGACCAACCTAATATCACCTCAGGGAGAAACCATAAAACGATGCAAATTTATTGCATGCGACAGCAAAAAGAACTAAAAATGGCTGTCATAAACTGGGAAAGCTAACTGATCCCTTAATAACCAAAGCACAAGACGCTTATGAAAATTCGAAACTTGATCATATCCAGCCAGACAAAATGGACATCGACATAGACATGAAGCCAAAATTGTTCTCACCAAACTATCAGGACACGAGAATCATGAACGAAGATATCCTGGCTTAGTTTAGACGGTGTTCGGGGTTCACCACCTGGCGAAGCAGCTACTCTTATTATTATCCTCGGGGACATAAAACATCAAACACAGTAAACTAGCACAAAAAGTTGGACTTCATACTTGTGTCGTGGAGAAGGGAGAATGACCACTTGGGCTGCGATTTTTTGCAAGCTTTTGTCATTATTGGGTGTGAACTAAACCCCACAATGGATTTACCAAAAATAAAAAAAAAAGACCCCACAATGGAATAGTGACGCATTGTTTTCTTCCTAGTCATTATTGTGGCTTTGATGATTTGAACAGATTCGTCACTAAGAAACAGACTCTGATGTTGAAATGAAAATGGAATCAGCTTCAAAGGTTTGAAAGCCGAGAACTTAGAAAGCAAAAAGGCAACTTGGCGGGGAAGGGATAAGAGAGTGGACACGTGACGTTGCTCCCTTGGGACTGGCACTCTGGCAGTACTCATTTTGGTCCTTTTTTTTTTTTTTTTTCAAGTTTCATCTAATCAACTTATAATTTATGGATCAAAATTAGTTAAAAACAACAATATTTTTGTTTTTAAATATATCCTTATCATAAATGCAAAAAGAAAAAAAAAGATGAAAGAGAATTATAAAACATATAATGAGAGAGAGAGAGTGTGGCAAAAAAAATAATTAAAAAAATTAAATATTAAGATAAATCTAAATTAAAACTTATAAAATCCATAAGATTTCTCTTTAAATTTTAAGTTCATTTGTCAAACAAATGGGCCTACCACAAAGCACACAGTCTCGCACTGTCACCGTCACTGTGTCACTTATTTTTCTGAAAACAAGCTGCAACGTTTAAGTTCCACAAAAATGAAGCTGAACCATAAATTTTTTTTTTGAGTTGTTATAGTTTCTCAAGTTAAAAAAAAAAGTAGTTATGGTTTCTGAATTCCAAATATTTGTTTTCATGCTGAAAATTTGTTAAGTACTCTCTGACTCCGTCACTTATTATAAAAAATAATTATCAAAATTACAATGTTTGTTAGTTTAATTTGATTAAAAATAATAAATGTGTAATATATATTTTTTATTACACCATTATTTATACATAAAGAATATGATAAGTAATGAATGAAAATTTATTACAAGGAGATATTAGATGATATATTTAATGAGTGTGGAAGTAGAAAGATGTGTTTAAAAATTTCAAAGATAATTTATTTCCAATGTTTAGCAATACCACTGTGAAAGAAGACAAAGAAAGTATTGTAGATGCAATGACAAATAACTTGCCACACAATATAAGTAGAATAAAATTTATTTACTACCATCATAAAAATGAAAAATTATTATGGTCATGATCATCTCGTTGCATTTATATATAATCTATAATCTGGTACTTTAAAATACCCAATACATTAAGGGCTTGTTGAGAATAGCGGTCAAATATGTAAGTCGAGATAAAACTCTTCTCATATACTTATCTCGTATTCCGTAAATCATGATTGAAAAACTATTTATAAATTGTTCTAAACGGGCCATAAGTAAAGGTTGTGCCCAAATTTGGCTCTCCTCATCAAGTTCATGGTAATCCAAATGTTAAGATAGACATAAAACATGTTACTTTAAATTTTAATTATAAAACATCGTTTGTAATTTATAAACAAAATCTTATAATTAGAATTGAAATATGATTGGTCTTTTTTATAAGTTATACTCTATATAAAAATACTTGTATGGTCAAAATTAAATATTCATCTCTCTCTCATAATTATATACATAACTTGGTGAATGTCTAAAGGGAATTACACCTCTTAAGGCCCTTAGAATTCAAGAACCAGTCATTGTGAAATATTACTATGGTTTTTATACAATTTGTTTAGTAAATCTTTTGTAATCATGATAGACATTTTGAATGATTACTTTAAATCTTTTCTATCATGGTTAATATTTCTGGCGAATTAAATTTTTTTTTATAACCATGGTACATTCTCAAAGATTATACTAAAATTCTTTTCTACAATAATTAGTATTACTCAATTTTGAGTTTAAAAATATTAGTAGCAGGTTAGAGAGAACCGTTGTTATGCATGAGATCCCCAGAATTCAAGTACATGAAAGCTCTTTCTGTTAGGGAAGGGTGAAGATGAAGGAACTGCATTAAACCCAGAATAATGGCCACCCATCTTTGCCCTGCACACTTCATCCATCTGCTTCACAAACTTGTTCTTCTCATTGAATGGCTGAGCTGCATATTCCTCAAAAGGCATCCACTACACAGCAAGACAAGACAGCATAAATACGATATACTATCGATTTGGTCCTTCAAGTTTAATCTTGTTAATCAAATCCCTAAAGTTTCATGCACAATTTCATATTCTTATTTGATCTCATCGTACCAGCAATTTTTTCTGCAATCCATGAAGAAGGTGCCACCTTCGAGGTTATACCACGTGTGTGAGGGACTATATATTTTCAAACCATAAGGACCGGCTGTGTATGTTTATGAAATTATAGGGATTTGATTGATGAAAGATTAAACTTCAAGGACCATGTTGATAACTGAGGCAAACTTGAGGGTGAGAAAGTTTCATTATTCATTATTCCTAGATCCTACTGAAATATGCGTTTGACATAGCTTCAGTGATCCACTAGTCTACCTAACAATCATTCTTGTGTGTTTGACATAGTTCCAGTTATCCACTAGTCTACCTAACAATCTTTCTACCTTTGGCTGTAATAATCATCTTGTTTCCGCACCCCCCTAATACTTACATTAATTTAAACAGAACATAACTCCACCTAGAATGTGATTTAGTGTGACAGGATAAACATTTCATTGTTAAACTCATCGCTTGTTTCCTTTTCTTCTCTATCCCTATTAAAAAGTACTATAAGCATTTACTTTTGACATGAAGAATCTAGGTTGCCAGAAAATTATGCACCTGGGCAGCTCCTATCTCCTGTTCTTGCACTTGGACGTCAAAAGAAAGGGGGCGCAGCATGCACAAGATGAATAACCCTGACTTCGTCATTAAGTCCGAATTAGGAGTTTGGCTGATGAACGAAGAAGGAAATGTTTAGCACTTCGTAAACTTGCAGATTCCAATCCAAAAAAAAAAAGAAAAAAACCCAGAACAATTTGTATCTACCTAAAGGCCAACACTTCCAAAAATTTTGTGTCAATCTGAAAATTGAGAAAGCCACAAAAACTTGTGTGATACAGGTTTGTATGATATGATTGATAAGTGACAAGCTGATGATGACTACAATGGTGTTATGGTTGAAATGGACGCGCCAATGGATCCTGCAACCTTCGTGCCGATTCTTAGAGCTTCATTTCAACCATAACACCACTGTAGTTATCGTCAGTTGATGTTAATGTTCTGACTTCTCAGATGCAAATTTATTGCATGCGAGAGCAAAAAGAACTAAAAATGGCTGTCATGAACTGGGAAAGCTAACTGATCCCTTGATAACCAAAGCGCAAAACGCTTATGAAAATTCGAAACTTGATCATATCCAGCCAGACAAAATGGACATCGACATGAAGCCAAAGTTGTTCTCACCAAACTATCAGGACACGAGAATCATGAACGAAGATATCTAGGCTTAGTTTAGGCCGTGTTCGGAGTTCACCACCTGGCGAAGCAGCTACTCTTATTATTGGTATCCTCGGCGACATAAAACATCAAAACACAGTACATTAGCACAAAAAGTTGGACTTCACACTCGTGGAGTGGAGAAGGGAGAATGGCCACTTGGGCTTGTTAAAATAGGAGTATTTGTAATTTAATAATCTGTCGTATTACTCAATACGACATTTAGGTTCTTTAACCTTCTTGGTTTATTTTTTATCTTCTGCTTCTTATAAATAGGAGTCGGGCCTTGAGTCTTAGTTAGAGGGGTCCATGTGTTGTACATTACTCTAGTTCAGTAATACAAAATTTCCATTCAGTTTCTTTGTGCGTTGCTGTATCAGTATTGGGCCCAAAATTCTACATGGCATCAGAGCCGAGGGTTTTCCCTCTCTTCGAATAGCAAGCCCATTTTCTTCCCTAAACCGAGATTCAATCTTTCTCAACCCCACGAACAGAGTCTTCCATGGCGGACGAAAAGACTGCGGCCGAGAACCTACCATTCACTCATCCCCTGCACCTCCATCCATCGGACACGCAAGGGGCCTCAATCATCTCCCACGTTCTCATCGGCACAGAGAATTACACGGTTTGGAGTCAAGCAATGAAGATCGCTCTGTTGGGGAAGAATAAACTCGGATTCATCACTGGAGCATGCAAGAAAGAAAACCACGACGAGGCACTGCACGACCAGTGGGAGCGGTGCAATGCCGTGGTCTTGTCCTGGATCCTTAACTCGCTCTCAAAGGAACTCGCGAATGGGGTTATATTCTTCCAGAATGCACACCACGTATGGATTGATCTCAAGGAGAGGTTTGATAAAAAGAATGGAGCTCGAATTTTTGCCCTTCACCGAGAAATCACCTCCCTGAGACAAGGATCCCTCTCAGTCGCCGCATATTTCTCGAAGTTAAAGGAACTTTGGGAGGAACAGTCGGCACTAGTCACTCTGCCCTCCTGCACATGCGAGACCTCAAGAAGCTATGCTCAAATTGTTCAAGAACAGAAGCTTCTTCAGTTCTTGATGGGCCTCAGTGATTCGTATCATCACGCAAGAAGCCAGATCCTCCTGATGAACCCTCTGCCAGGAGTGAACGAAGCTTACGCCATGATAATTCAAGACGAGACTCAGAAATCGATCGCCAGTAATGATAGACCGTCCCCAGGAGAAGGAATTGCAATGGCCGCCAGGGGGCGTGGTCGTGGAAGAGGCCGCGGACGAGGGGAGAGTAATCTTGAGTGTACACATTGCAAAAGAAAAGGACACCTGAGGGAGAATTGCTACCAATTAGTGGGATATCCTCCCAATTTCAGAGGAATTCGAACCAAGCAGATCAAAGAGGGGGGACAAGCTGCGTCCGATTCAACTCATGATCCAGAGGCATATGCAAATGAAGCAACCACGGTAGCACCAAGCTTCACCAACGAGCAATATCAGAAACTCCTAGAGCTTCTGAAGAAGGAGTCAGAGACCACCGTTCACGCCTTGACCGGTACAGGTTTGGCGATTCCTAATTCTTATAATGTAGCTTATGTCAATTGGATTCTTGATTCTGGAGCTACAATACATATGGTAGGAAGCCTAGAATTACTTGAGAATTATAAGATTTATAATGGTCCTATTCGATCAATTAGGTTACCTGATGGAAATCGTGTGCCTGTAACTCACATAGGAACGGCTAGAATATCTGATGATATAGTTATATCTGATGTCCTGCATGCTCCACTTCTGAAATTCAATCTCATATCAATTTCTAGATTTACAAAAGAGTATAAATGCGTTGTATCTTTCTTTCCTGACCTCTGTGTAATGCAGGGCCTTCAGGATGGGAAGATGAGGATGATTGGTAAAGAGATTAGTGGATTATACTACTTGAAAATTGCTAGATCTGGTCATATTGCTAGTGCTGTTCAAAGTGATCATAAAATTGTTAATAGTTCTGATGTTTGTCTTTGGCACCAAAGATTGGGACATGCCCCTTTTTCTGTTATGAAGCATCTAAATTTTGTAATAAAGGATAGTTCCTTGATGAATAAAGTTTGTGATGTTTGTGCTCAATCCAAGTAGACAAAGTTCCCGTTTACTGTTAGCTGTATAAAAAGTAAGCAAATTTTTGAACTTTTGCATATTGACGTTTGGGGTCCATATAGGACTCCAACACATCATGGATACCAGTATTTTCTGACCATAGTCGATGACTTCTCTAGAGGAACTTGGATATTTTTAATGAGGAATAAATCTGAATCTGTTACACATATTAAAAATTTCTTTGCCTATGTATCAACTCAATTTCATACGAATGTTAAAAGAATTAGAAGTGACAATGGATCAGAATTTAAGAACAATGAATTGAGAAGTTTCTTACAAGAAAAAGGCATTATCCATGAGACCTCTTGTCCCTATACTCCAGAACAAAATGGAGTGGTTGAAAGAAAACACAGAACAATAATGCAAGTAACTAGGAGTCTGATGTTGGAGTCACATGTGCCTGTAGAATATTGGGGTGAGTGTGTGAAAATGGCTGTCTATTTGGTGAATAGAATTCCTTCCAAAGTATTAGGATACCAATCACCCTATGAGAAGGTTTATGGAACCCAACCAGATCTGAATAATTTGAAAGTCTTTGGTTCTCTAGCTTATGTCACAGATCTTAGAGTTACTGACAAATTGCAGCCTAGAGCTATTCCTTGTGTCTTTCTAGGATACCCTGAAAATCAAAAGGGTTATGTTCTCCTTGATTTAAACACAAAAACGGTTCTGGTAAGTAGACATGTAAACTTTCTTGAGAATAAGTTTCCCTTTAAAGATGCTGTGAGAAAAGGGCAAAGGGGAGTTAATCAAGACTTAAGAGAAATGTTCTGGTTTGAACCAGAAAGTATACAGATACAAAATAGTACAAGAATTCCAGTTAACAATGAAGCTAACAGTGAGAACCATGAGCTAACAAGCAGAAATGAAACAGATATTATTCATGGGCAAAATGAAATAAACAACCAACATCAATCTACCCCAATTAGGCCCATTAGGGATAGAAGACCCCCCATTTGGTCAAATGATTATGTTTGTTCCCTCCTTACTTCTGGAACTAAACAGGAACAGCGACAGAAGCAATGTAAATATCCTATTCATGACTACTTGTCTTATTCTAATATTTCTCCCGATTATATATGCTTTCTCAATGCCATTGACTCTGTATCTGAACCAACAAAATACCAGCAAGCCGCAAAAGATGAAAATTGGATAAGGGCAATGAAAATTGAAATAGAGGCTCTTAAGAGCAATCATACCTGGGATATAGTTCCGTTGCCTAAGGGTAAAAAGCCTATAGGATGCAAATGGATATATAAAATTAAGTATAATTCTGATGGGAGTATAGATAAATATAAGGCTAGGTTAGTTGCAAAAGGATACAATCAAAAGGAAGGGATGGATTATCATGAAACTTTCTCCCCTGTGGTTAAAATGTTTACAGTTCGGTTAGTATTGAAATTGGCTGCTTTAAATAAATGGAATTTGTTCCAAATGGATGTACATAATGCCTTTTTACATGGAGACCTTGATGAGGAAGTGTATATGTCAATCCCTGAAGGATTTGACATTAAGGGGGAGAATATGGTGTGCAAATTAAGAAAATCTCTCTATGGGTTGAAACAAGCCTCTAGACAGTGGAATCAAAAGCTGTCACAGGCTTTAAAATTAGGAGGTTTTGAACAGAGCAGGAATGACTATTCTTTGTTTATTAAGAACTGTGATGATGGTATTGTTTTGATTCTGGTTTATGTTGATGATCTTTTAATAACTGGAAGTTCAGAAAAGGGGATTAAACTAGCAAAAGATTTTCTGCATAATACTTTCAAAATTAAGGATCTTGGATTAATGAAATATTTCCTTGGTATAGAAGTGGCTAAATCTAAAAAGGGGATAGTGTTATCCCAAAGGAAATATGTTCTGGATTTACTTTCTGAAACAGGAATGAGTGGGTGCAAGCCCTTAGCAGTCCCTTTTCCACAAAAGCTCAAGCTTATGCCTTATGAAAAGGGTAAGAGCAAAGAGGAGGAGTTGTTGGAGAACCCAGAAAGCTACAGAACGTTGGTTGGTAAGTTAATATATCTAACTATGACCAGACCTGACATTTCCTTTTGTGTGCAGACCCTCAGTCAATTTATGCATCGTCCAACCAAAGCACACATGGGGGCTGCACGAGGAGTATTGAGATATCTAAAGGGACGACCTGGACTTGGGATATTCCTTAGCTCAGAAGGGATTTTCCAATTGGAGTGTTACTGTGACTCAGATTGGGCTTCATGTAGTTTAACAAGGCGCTCAGTTACTGGATACTTGCTTAAGTTTGCTGGGTCTTTAGTCATGTGGAAGACAAAGAAGCAAAGCACAGTTTCAAAGTCTTCAGCTGAAGCTGAATACAGAGCATTGAGCATGGCTACATCTGAGATTGTCTAGGCATTGGGACTGCTTAAGGATCTGAAGATTCAGCACCAGCAACCAGTGAGTATCTTCTGTGATAGTCAAGCGGCGATA